AGAAGAATATGGACTCTCATAATCTTCTTAATAGTAAAAGTTTATCATTATAGTATTTCAAGTTTTTGGTTATTCTAAGTTTATTTTTATCCATTCTTTCCGCTCAGGTTTCAATTGTTCAGTTGTAATTGCAGGGACAGCGATGTGGCTTTAAGCGACATGCCCATAAGTCCAGGGCATCCATGTTGGTACTCCACTGGTAGGTGTTTATGTGGATGTATAGGAGCTGGTATAAAAATAGGGAGCACAGCAAAAGAAAATAAATGTTAGATGATAATGTTTCTTTTTAGCCAACCATGTATTTAAATAGATAATTCACTCCAAAAAGTTCATATTTTTCTGTTTCACATATTCCTTTCTTCCCAGTTGTGCTACATATTGGCTGCCTTCTCCTACCAAGCTACTCAAACCAAAACCAACAAACAGACTGAGAGCAAGAGAGAAGCAGCCTCATTCTTACCAGCTCCTCTAAAGCTGTGTTGTTTGCGTTTCCTTTCAGCTATACATTAATAAGCTAAGCAATAAGCTAAACATTTCCCGACTGTTGCCCAGAAAGAAAGCAAAGTGTACATATTGAGATATGCTCCCAGGCAGAAGTAACAGCTTGTCAAGGATGGAAAGCATTTAAATGGAAGGAACAGAACAGCAGAAAATGGGGATTAAAGATGGATGGAGTAGATGGTGAGCAGTGGCAAGGACAAATGACAGATGTTACTGTCAGAGGGGGGTTGATGAAAGGACTCCGTTCACCCTGAAAGAGAGGAATAATGGGAGATGACAGGGAGTGAAGAAATGAAAAGCTGGGGGATGAAGTAGGGCTCTCAGGTCACATATGGCAGTGGACACGGTCAATTTGGATTGTTTGTGTGGTGACTCCTTCATACAAAGCATAGTAAAGGTTACACAAATAGTCACGGGTATAGTCTTGGTTCTTTGTATTTGCCATACAGTATATACAGTATTTTTTCTGTGTATATAATGTTTGGATTCCTTGGCCCACTTTCCCGGGGCACAGGCTGGAAGCAGGCCAGCAGACCTGGTGCTGAGTGAAGACTGGCTGCACGTGGGGCTCAGTGGGAGAGTGAAGATAGAAATGCACACAGAGACACTGGACAGTGCATTTTGCTGAATGGCTTTAAAACCCCTGTAGAGCGGCCTCTTTTCCATTAGGCTCGGCCAGCTGTCGGCAGCAGCTATAACTAACTCCATACAATAAAGCTTTGGCACTGTGCTTATATCTTATACTAATAAAATGATAACAAGCTGTCACTGTTACAGTCTGAGGTAAACCAATCTCCTTGATTTATCTCCCTGATGGGGCCTTTATTCAAATTTTGCCACCTTGCCTTTTTAAAGTGCTGTTCTCTCTCATTTTTCCTCCTAACTCACCACTATGAATTCTCATCTAAGTCCATATAAGGCGTGATCAAAAAGTGCTTGTAAAGATCATTTTCTGTACAGCTACTATTCTTCTAGCCTTTACATGTCCAGTTGTGTTTGGGCTTCTCCGATATGTCAAAACGTGATCATTCAATTTTATTTTCATTTTCAGGAAGTTGCGGGGAGGAAAATATGGCTAATAGGGCAGGTGGTGAACAAAGATTGTGTTGATGTGGGTAGAAAATAGGTTTCAGTGCACTCACAGCTGGCACCACCACATTTCAGGACATTTTTTGTGAGTGCTCCCCCTCAGACGTTGCAGTAGAACTCCACATTGACGGTTTCCCCCTTTACAGTACACAATGCTGTGATGAGCATGCTCCTGGCTCACATCATGTGTTGCCTTCAGGCTTAAAAAAACTCTGGACTCTTCAGGTTGAAACAGAAGTTGCTTTTTCCTCTCAGTGAACTTGCAGAGTGCTCAGTGTAAGTGGTTTGAACAGGGCTTCCAAGGAGCAATCTAAAAAAATGGCAGTGGAGCTGAAAGCTGTACAGACATGACACAAATTGCACAACAAATGGAAGTATTTTGAGGATATTCCTGTTCCAGTGTGTGGTGACTAAAACATCTCTTCTGTTTTGTACACTTTACTGGCAGAGTATTACAGGTATTGTTTGTATGTTTAGAACTGTGGCTTTCTTTGTAATTATACATATCATTCCATGATGTCCTTCAAAGTAGGTTGTTTATCCTTGAATTATGTGTTGTGTAGCGTGTTGAAGTATCCCTCGTTTATAAAATATATGGACTCGGCTATTTTAAATATTTTTCCTATTGTGCATCTTAGTTATGTTCACATGGTGTGTGTAAGTGCAAGTGGAATGTCATACATAATAACTGGAGAAAGCTTGAAAAAGTGCATTTTGGGTAAACCTTAAATTTGAAACATGGTAATTGGACTGGTTCTTATATAAGGCTTTCCTACTCTACTGGAGCATGCAAAGCATTTTATACAACGCGCCTCATTCACCCATTCTCGCCCATTTATACGAGCACTTTTTTCTCTGTTTTTTGTCCAACATTCATTCTCTGATAAGCATAAAGCAACTTGGGGTTCAGGATCTTGCCCAAGAATACTTTGACATGCAGACTGGAGCAGCCAGGGACTGAACCAGGAACCTTTCAAATGAATGGATGGACTTTTTTTTTAATGTAGTCATATTTTACCATTCTTGAATTTGGTATATAATGTACATAATATGTATAGATTGGATATATCACATCACTAAGGGGATTTTGGCTTGGATTGTGACTCTTAGAGTGGGTGTAAAAAGGATTTGGTTGTTATATAGGATGATCCAAACTGATCTAGAATAATGAATGGGAGATATTAGAGGTGAATAGGTGCACATAGCTCATTTTTAACCTTGAGCCAAGTTCAGTCCCCGCCTGATTTGAGCGGTGGCGGACTCTGGGATTGTCACCTCGGCTATCGTAACACACATGCCGCTGTAGAGTTAAATATACTGCACACACAGGCACAAGATGCCACACATGCTGGAATTCACATTTGAAGCGCTGGTGCAATGACTACCAAACAGTCCAAGTACTGGAAGGTGAATTACATGGAATAATTCCGAAAATAAGCCCACTGTTGGACACACAAGCATTTCCATGTTCAACAAACCAAAGAAAACTTTAAGTTGCTTTTTATTTAAAATAGCCTCCGGCTCATTCGTAGGTCTGCTCCTTCTGCCCTGAGAAGGATGACAGGTTCAAGGAGGCGGAAAAAACAAATGAACAAAAAAGATGAAAAGGGCAAAATGGAAATGTAGTGTTTTCTCTGTTCATTTTTTCCCCTTTAAGCGCTTGTCATGGGTCCAGGGCATTCATAAAGAATTTACCATGTGGCTAATTTTAGACCGTGCGGTGAGAACTCCTTCACTGAGCAAATCTGCATGTGAGAGAGTCATGATGTAGTAGATTGTGGCTTCTTCTGGAAACTGAGGTCATAAAGTTTCACTGCCATCTTGAACAGATGTGTGCAAAGCTCCAGATATTATTTAATGCTTGTCAGGATATGTGAGAATATCAATAGAAGCATAACACATGGGAGTAGTTGCTTAAAAAAATCTGGTCCTGCTTCTGCTTTCCAAACATCTTGGACACTTTTTGTAGTTCCCATAAATGGCTCCCAAATTGATTTCTTGGTCAAATGTTTCTGCTAGATTTGCATGCCTAAGGGTTTTGCACAACAGGCCCGAGGTCCTTTCATTCACAAATGCAGTTAACTGTTACATAAAGAAGCGCTCTGCCAACTGTGTGTGCATCTGATAGGACATAATACAGTGTAAAGAGTGTGTTATTCACGCAGTGAAGACCACCCGGATTCTTTTCGTAGCATCAAGGAAATCCTTCAGGATGTTTTACATCATTCGATCCTCGCTCGTGTTGGTAGAGGGTGTCACTCACTGTTGTCTAAGGGGGGGGGGGCACTGCCAGGGCACAAAGACACACATGCACACAGGCAACAAATACTGCACAGTCGCTATTGTACTCATGGACAAGAGCTTTCTTTGTTGTGGCATAAGAGCAACTAATGTCAAGACTCCTGTTGCCACACAGCAAGAATATCTCTACAGTCCTTGGGACATGTTTTTAAGGACACAGTAAAGGCAATCTGGATAAAGAATAGGCTTGGATAAACTGTAAGTTAATGTGCATTTCCAGTCATTCTAGCAGTTTCTGTACATGGAACTGTATTGTTTATTTATGTGGTGGCTGTTGCTGCTCATATCTTCCTGTATTTATGCCAAACAAACAGGGCTCCGGGAAACATAAATGGCTTAACTTCCTGTGCACTACAAATAATTTCTTTGCAAGGAAACATCGACAGGAGACACAGGGCGTGTAGACCATCGTAAGGCCTTAAAGATCTGGGAACATCATGAATCCTGTGCTGTATTTGACTGAGAATCAAATCAATAATTTATTGTGCGGGGAAAATGTCATGCTCACTTGTCTTAGCGTGTTATAAATCTGAGACTGTAGGAGAGCAGCTTTACATGATTCACAGCACAGAATAACGTTTTTGGGTTTTTTTTGTCTTATAAGATTTAGCATCTTGGTTCCTTCTTTGACTTAGACAAGCTGCTTTAGCTCGCTCAGCCCTTACCTGTAGTTTGAGCCAACTCTATTCTGATTGGCTGCATCTTTAAAACAGAAGGTTTGAACAACTGGTTGGTGGTGTTGTTGTGGTCACATTGATGACTGAGATGGAAGAAAGTGCAATCACTGTGTTGCAGATGTTGTAGGGGTACCAGAGAGTTAGGAGATTTTTGGGGTTAGGGATTAGGATTAGGGATTGATTTAAAAAATGTTTCCATTTTTCCCTGTTTCAATCCAAAAGTCGAATAGTTTGGAATAAATTATTATAGATTAAAGTGCACAGGCCAGTGCACATCACTTATAACTTCCCAGATGCTGTGTTGCTCACCAGAGGTCACATGCTGTCCATCATTAAACTCTTGAAATGTGTTGGTTAAAGATCCAGGAAACTTTAAATCCACTTTAAAGTAACTGAGAGCCATTTGCTTGGTCTTCTCTCTCTTTTTTCCAGATGATGCAACCTAGATAGCAGCCTCGTCCTCCGCTCCACTCCCCCTCCCTGCCCCTTGGCCCCTTCCTCTATCTTCCTGGACCTGCACCGCCACTGCCACCTGTGTTACCACAGCCATCATGCCCCCCAGGAAGAGGACACGACAGGGCCTGGGCTTCCTGTGCTGCTTCGGCAGCAGCGAGCCCCCGGAGATCAACCTGAAGGACACCGTGCCACTGCAGCTGCTGGAGTTCAGTGCGCCCATGCCGCCTGCTGAGGAGCTGCATGCGCGTTTCTCCGAACTGGTGGTGAGTAAAGATAGATTCAACTTGATGAATGATTAAGTAAGCTGTTTTCACACTCACACAGGGCTGCCCTGAACTTTTCTAGGACTTCGTTTTGGATGTTAGTTGATGTTAGTGATGCTGAATTGCGTTGATTTGTGAAGCAAGTAGGCATCACGTGCAGTGCCCCCTGCAGGCTCTATCAAGCCAGCATCCTTATCTAAACTAATATATAGAGTTGCAGGAGTACATCCTGATGATCAAGTGCAATCAAGGAGGGTTTTTCCTCTGGATGCTGCAATGCATTAGTCTTGCAAGCATTAAACGTCCAGGGGCTTCAGCAGGGGAGGAAAATTTATGAAAGTTTTTCACCTCTAAGCAGTTTGGAACTGAAGAAGCTTTTTGGATCGGAAATGAAACATCTTTAGAAAACTTAACAAAGTCTATTGTCCTTCTTATCAAGCTCTTAAGACTACCATAACCTGGATGACTGAGAACCTACACAGAAAACATTTATCCTGCTTTCAGACTGCTGTGCTTCCCATGTTTGTTTTTTGGTGGAGTGGAATTGGCTTTTAAAATCCCATGTAAAAACTGGAAAAACAGAGTGAAACACTGCTGCAGACAGTTCATGCACCAAATAGTAACAGAAACTTATATATTAGTCTCTATGAAAGAGATTTGTGTGCTATTTAGTGGTTTCTCAGTCTCATGGCTGTTGAACAGAAGCCTTGCCCTTCTCCAAACATTTTACAAACTGGATAGTTTAAAGTGAAATCACATCTGTCATAAGAATTAATCCAGAATTTGTCCAGCCCAGTTCTTTTTCTTTTCCTGCTGCTCATTATACCAAACAATACGAGATCAGTGTCTCGAATTAGAAGGGGATTTCTTACAGAGGGATGCCTTGATGGTTGGGTGAGGCCATGTCTCAATCGCCACTACAAATTCAGAAGCTCATCCTCTCCAGTATGCAGCCCACTCTTGCACTACAGTCCCTATCGTTGTTGGCAGAGGTTGATGTCTGGTCTCTGTGCCAGACTAGGATAACTGTACTTGCATGTGCCCATGGTGTGGACATGGATCAGGTCACAACTGCGTCAATGGAGAAGGCTGCTGTTCGTTTCAGCTGCCCTGCAAACAGGTCATGGCTTTACAGCTTTGCTGTTTCTGTCTCTCCATTTGCTCACTTCCAGTCTCTTGGTTGGTTTTGTTCCTGTCTGTCTCCATCACTCTCCTCAGATTTCCTGCTTCTCTCTGTCTCCCAACAATGTGTTGACTGGTGTGGCCACAGGACTGCTTCTGGCACTGCTGAGTGTTTGGGAATGCTAAACTTTACTGCCTGCAGGATATATCACTCCACTGTTAAATTCAATTCAGGGGATCAATGGAACTTCCGTTTATGATAAGAAAATTATTCAAGCTTATCAAAGCAGATGTTTCCCCAGTAGTGATTTTTTTTTTCAAGCTAACTCACAGAATTATGCCCTGAATTTGTTCTTTAATAATGCATGAGCCATTAAAGCTTAGCTGCCTGTAGCTGCAGCATATTTATTGGCTTGATTGATGAAAATTCAAGCTTAAAAGCAATCAAGACACTGATTATCTCAATCAGGAGAGAGAAAAGCCTTTCATATTATACAGCTGTGAGGTCAACACAGTAATTTCTGAGGGATTAACAGGTTGCCCTTTGATATGCTGTACATGGCCGTACAAAAAAGTACTTAAAAAAATTAGGCTTTGACATTAACGAAACCTCTTTAATGCCAGCAGAGACCAGTATTTCTGGGGTAAATTAAAAACATGCCGTCATATGGGAGCACTTAGCCATATCATGGCAGTTTTTATGGTTGATAGGACTAAGTGACCCACAGCTTATTGTGCGGTAAATATTTCAGCTACAAATGAAACTTACAGATTGATGTGCTGAATGAGAAGTAGGGAGGAAAGATTCGTCCCTGAGTTTAAAACCACTTGACTAGTTCAGAAAGATGATTCAGGGTTTTCTCATCGGACCAGGGCTCGTCCACTTTTGAAAAAAACTGTAGTTCAGATAGTTGTTAGAGGGCTACTTTTGATGGCCTGTTTGTGCCTCACTGTAGGTTTCCATAACTAGATGCAACACTTAAAAATGCTTTGTGCAACAATGCAAATTACATTTTTTATGTTAGACACTTTTAAATTGGCAACATTGGCGCATTACTGGGGCTACAACCCCAATTTGAGGCAAGTGAAGTTATAGCATCTTTGAACAAAAGGCTGTTATATGTTAATAAAATAAAAATGTATTTAACCGACTAGCATTTCTGATACCACCTATAAAGAGCAGCAATATTTGAATGCAAGTCGACTACTGTGCAGATCTCTAATTGAGAAAAGGTGCTGGATGATGAACAGAAACTTTACGTCCTAGGATTTTCCAGGAACATCTAGCCTATAAAAGTGTCCGCAGGAAATTCTTAGGTAGACAGTCAGGGAACACGTTTTTTTTTTGTTTTTTTTTTAAAGTTACTCTTCACATATTAGCAGTAAAGAAACTTGTGTTGTAGTTGTGCACACAGTAGCTTTAATATTTAGAATGTCTTAAAATTCAATAAAGAAAAATGATGCTCCAAAATAATGATCCCTCAGCCTGTAATAGCTGGATTCATGTCTAGTCTGACCAATGTACGACTGATTCTACCTAATAATGTTCATCTGGGTGAGCTATTGGTTCTGCACATCTGTTTTACTGATCCAGGAACCGACATGCTGACACAAATTTAGCTGGGCATCCAAAAGTCTGTAGTACCAGACCTCTTGGAGTCAGCCAGCCCGGACACACTGATTGTTACTCAGACAGAGAACTGATGTGGAGAGAGGTGGACCTATGTTGCATGGTAGGAAATAAAGAAAAATGAAGAAAAACATAACATAGTATGTTTCTGTGGCAACGGGCAATGGGGATTATTGTTAAATGAAAGCCTTTCCTGAGAAGGAGAATGAGACTCAATGGAGCCTCTGGAGTGGGAGCGACAGATCTGGGCCAAACGGAGGAGTAAACCACCTCCATGTGTCCTCACATTCATAATGGAGTCTTCTGCTGTGTCGAGAGACACGCGGTGCACACTCGGCTTACTGTGTGTGTGTGTGTGTGTGTGTGTGTGTGTGTGTGTGTGTGTGTGTGTAAGGAAAAACTTCAGCTGACTTTTGGACTGCTGTCCAGTTTTGGATGACAGTGGACTAGAATAGATATAACAGACGTATAACTGTGGCGATGAACCCTATTACCTCTTATGACATGAACAGTATTTTGGCCACTGTTGAAAGAAATGATATGAATTTGTGGCATTTCAAACCTACAGTATCCGTGCCTACTTTCAGCAGCAGAGTGATGTAAAAATATAGCAAATTATGCACAGTTTAATACTGTACATGCTGACATCTCTAAGGAAATATAATGAGAAAATATTACTAAAAGGCAACTGTACTTATTTTTGTAATATGAGACTGTATCTTTCCTTTGAGTGCAGAGACTTGTGATAATAAAATACAGTAAATTTTTCAAGTTGTTGTTAATATTTTTTCTCATGTACAATATTTAACTGTTTACAAAAAATATACAAGAAGCTTCTCTACAGTTTTTTTTTGTTTTGTTTTTTTATAAACACATGAGAATAACAACTCATGCAAGTAGAGTTTAGTTTTTGTAAATCCAACAATGTGCTTGGAAACATTCCTCAGAGATTTTTGTCCATAGTGAAATGATAACATCACATAGTTGATGCAGGATTGTCGGCTGCACATCCATGATGAAAATTTCCTCTTTCACCACATCCTATAGGTGCTCAAAGTCTTTGTCATTGTCAGTAAACCAGCTGATATGATATGACCTTTGTGACATGGTGCGTTATTCTGCTAGAAACGGCCATCAGAAGATCTCATGAGATGAGCATTGTTGTTGACCACATCCATCCCTTTATCACCTCAGTATACCCAAGTACAGTAAGAAGTGATGCTGTGATGCAGGCAAGGGCTCATCAACTCTCCCAAAGCCATGTTCAAAGTCACTTACATTACTTTTTTTCACCATTCTGATGCTCAGTTTAAACTTTAGCAAGTGATCTTGACCATGTCTATATGACTGAATTCACTGTGTTGCTCACATGTGTTTGGCTGGTTAGATATTTACATTAACCAGCAGTTGAACTGGTGAGTATGGCATGTATTGGATGATTATGTCACTTGTTTTGTGTTAAGACTTTGATGTTGTGTTTGTGGGACTGCCTGCCAAACAACAAATAATCAAGTGAGACAAGGGTTCATAATCCCTGGCAAATCTGACTGGGACGTTTCTTACAGTCTTTTTTTTTTTTTTTTTTTACTTTATTAGAAGCCTCTGCCAACATTCCTGCTGTTTCATGATAAACGCAGGTGCTTGGTAATGTAGAAAAACAGAGAAGACATATTGTCTCCAGTTTATAGCTCACTAAGCTAATTTTTGCAGAATAAGCACATGTGGGATCCATCCTTGGTTACCTTGAGTAAACACGGACTCTCCTTTTTGAAATGTGGAACATCTCAACCCGGAGAAAGCCTGTAGGAAAAAAAACGTTTCCAAGTCTCTCATGGAGCCTCCTGTTCATGATGAAAAACTCAGCAAACTCATGCAAATGAACCTGGAAGCAATCCCCATGGATTCTGACACAATAAGTAAAGACCACATCTGAAGGGACTAATGGATCACATCAGTTAAAGTACACATTTGCAGCTGGCTGCACAGTTTCCTGGTAGCAAATGCGCTGCAGTTCTGGGTTCTGTTTTTTTGGATCTGGGTGCATTTTAAATGGCTTTTTTCCACCAGTGCTTCAGGACTCTCACGCATAGTTGATATGTAGGCCATGTGGGTTGTCTGGCTGCGCACCAAAAACATTGACAGCTTTATTTTTGTTTATCGGGGCAATTCTCCGCTAACAACTTTTTATCAACAAACTTGAAATTACTCTCGTATTTGGGTAATTGAAAATGAGCTCTCCCTAATCATG